AAACTATTAAATCATTAAAGTATTGATAAAGAATGTTGGAGGTGCAAAAATACACTATGCTTCTGTGGCAACAATCAGTATGAAAGCATAATTAAATTAAATGCAACATATAAATTACCAAAAGAAAACAACAGTAACTAAAAGCAAATTTAATTTAGGTATGGGCACATAGAACGGTGGTACAGCATTTTCCCAGCATGTGCATGGCTCAGTGTTTTATCCTTCAAACTTTGAAAAAGTTAATAAAATCTTTAAAATAAAATAGTTGCCATGGGTTAGATTTAAAATGTTCCTTCAAAGTCTCACATATCTTAAAGATACTTGGCATATGAGGAAGCTAAGCTCATTAGTGGATCAGATCACTGATGAGTTGATAGATAATTTGAAGTGAGGTGTTTTGGCATGGTTAAAGGAGCTTCCCTGGCTGCATGACTTCAAGGGCTATAGTGTTTTCATGATGTTTCCCTTCTTTTTTGTGCTTCTTGGCTGCACTTGTCTGAGCTCTCTTTTTTTCTGCCATTCTACTCTGCCACCCTGTTTCTTCCCTTAAGCCAGGTTACCATGGACTGAATGCCTGGGCCAAAATCAACCTTCTTCAGTTTATAGGTCTCTGGTATCTTCTCACAGTGATAGAAAAGTGGCCAAATCAACAAGTAATAGAAAATACAATCAGCTATTTTTCAGAGAAATCAATGAAGGCCTAAATAAAGAAATACATATTTATAAATAGAAAACCCAATATTATGAGAACATTAGTTCTTCACAAATTTAACCTCAAAATGTTTGTAGTTCTAACTTGATAAATAAAGCCTTGAAGATTTACTTGTGAATATCTGTACATATGTTGTATGCATGAGGCTTCAGAAGCTGAGTATAAAGTTTTAATTGATTTGTAAATGTCTAAGAATGTTGAAATTATTTTATCCTACTTGTGTTTTATGAGATGATTCTTTTTTAAATGTAGTTCAGGCTCGCCTTGAACTCACTTTGTAAGCCAGATTGGCCTTGAACTCATGATAATCTCAGTCTCCCAAGTGCTAGAATTAAAAATGTGTGCCAAGCCCTCTAAATCATTTCAAAAAGAAAATATAGCTCTCTCTGAAGACAATTAGAATTACTAAAAATACATTGTAGTTAAGATTTTGTTATATAAATCCTGACACAGGGAACTCACCAGAAAATAGGAGAGGAGGATAAAGCAGATTCTCTCCAGGAGAAGCCAATACTGTTGATACTTTAATCTGTACTTCTCTTTTCCAGAAATCTGAATGAATTCATTTCTTTTGTCTTTAGTCACCAGACCTATGGCATTTTGTTACTGCATAACTAGGAAATATGTTATAGTGAGCCTTGGGCTGAAGACTACCTGTCCTTCCTGAGGTATGTTAGAATGACAGATAGGATTGGTATTAGGAAACAGCTCTGCTCTTGAACATATTGTTCTGTTAGCATTCATAATTATCATGTGAAACATTGACAGGACTTAGTGTTCTTAATGCTACTTTGAAGTTGAAATCTCAAATTTAGATTCTTAGTTCTCTGGTGCCCCAAAGAGAAAATGAAAGTGTAGTTGAGACACAATGCCTGTCATGTGAAAATTAATACTGACAGCTCTGTGACATTTTCTCTCTAATGTTTTTTAGTCTTTAGTCTTAACTAAGGGTCTTCATATGGGTTCCATGTAATCCCTGCTACTATTCCTTTTCTTGACCAGTTGGTATACCATCATACCTAGGGTCTCATACCCTGAAAACTGATATAGACTTAAAGAGGGTCCTTAACCTGATGGTCCACACCAGAGCCTTGAAGAGCAGGCCATCATGACAGAGTTAGACTGCTGTTTCTTCTATTTGCAAGTGGCTAGTGTCTCAGTCTTCACTGAGACATGTTACTTTGACTGCTAGCAAGGATTAGTGTTTCTCTTTCTATTGACCTGAATGAAATCTTTTCATAGTAAGGCCTAGAGTTCCTTGAGAAAACACTCTACCTTCCTAAGACAAGGTGAGGTGTTTGTTTTGCCAGGTTGCTTCTATGCATTATATTCAAGACTCAAAGAAGCAGCTTCAAGCAGGTGAAGACACTAACAGTCATATTCTGTATGTGTTGGGTGGCTTTGTCACCTTTCAGCGAGGACCCTCAGTTTGAATCCTTAGAAGGCACATGATTCCTTTTTTCACTGACCTGAGGTTACACTTCTCAGTCCAAGGTTCATGCCTCTTTACCGCATAAGAAATATTAAAGAATACTTCTGTCGGGCTTTGCTGGAGGCTACCAGGCCTTAAAGTAGGGAAGTACTATCATCTGTTCTACTCTCTCTTGGATATAGTATGAGTCCTACCAGTACTCAAAAATGGAGTATAGTTTTAAATAAATTCCATAATAGATGAAAATATCCAGTTAGAACCTCAAAGAATAAAGAAAAACAAATAATATGTGTATATGAAACATAGAAAACAAAAGATGATGGAACTGTAGCAATTATCAGGGCAAATATAAAATTTTATTTATTTATCTACTTATTATGAATTTGGTACAGGATGTCACCACACAACTTGAACTTGTAGTAATCCTCCCGTTTTCAGTCTCCCCAGCACTGGGATTACAGACATGCACCACCATACCCAGGGTCTGTGGCTGGCTCAGCATGCCTGGAGGCAAATCCAGCGAGGCATGTGGTGGCAGGCATCAAACCCCTGTCCCTGTGCTTGCCTAAGCTGTCTTGCCAGCTTTTATAACATTGTTTTATAATTACATTCATACTATAAATAAAACTTTGCTTTAAAATCATGCTTTATACTTGAAACAAAATTATATTTTATGTGATTCTCAATGTATACACAGAGAAAAGGGATTTAATTAATCTTTCTTTTAAAAAGTGGTAAAATGTTAATATTATTAGATTATGAAAAGTTAAGCGTGTATTTGACACCATATTTACCATCCTATAGATGATCTACCAGTTACATATTCAAAATATTTGATAAATTCAAAAACTCTGGTAATTCAGCCAGGTAGGACAGCATATGCCTGTCATCCCAAAACTTGAGAGGCAAAGAAATCACAATTTCAAGGCCATTCTGAATTACATAAGTTAAAAACTGGTACTGACCACATAGTGAGACACTGTCTCGAGAAAATAGATAAAAGGCAAAAGAATCTCTTTAATCTACAGAAAGCCAAAAAGAAAGAAACAAATAAAAATAATGGAAACAAGGAAAAATAATACCATGACATAAATCCTGATTTGTCAATAAATGTGTGAAATATTGACACTCTAAACATGCTAATGAAATAAGATTGACAGAATAATGAAATAAA